ATTCCTAATAGCGAGCCAAAATCTTTGAAACATACTTGTGAAATCATCCCTTGCTTTGAGTGGGGATGTAGAAGACCTGACATCTAAGGAGTATGACGAGAACGGAGAAGTGCGAGCAGTGCGTATACAAGATCCAAATTTGGGAAATGTTTTTGCTCTTTGGTGTGTCAATTTTTTTCTTACTCTGCTTCAACTTTGATGAGGTTTTCCAATATATTGGAGAATTGAAACTCCACGCAGCAGTTCTCATCGTCCCTGCTATTCGGTAACCGTTATAGATCTAGGGCATTAAATTAGGACCTCAACAATGCATCAATAGATTAATTGATGCAAAGGTAAGCTTTTAGAGTAAAAATAGCGAGCTTGATTCGAGACATTAAAGCCACGCCCGTCTAAGATGAATTTTGTTAGCTAAAAGTGTTGTGATTATATGCTAGGCCTGGTGGTGTAGTTTATCATAGTTAAAGAGTATATTCTTGAATCCAATAGTGGCTCGTAACAGATGCGATTGCAACAATACAATTTAGGGGTCTATGAAAGTTTGGCACTTCTATAGTTCTCAATTGTGTGGATATTGATTTAATTATTTGATGATAATTGCTTGTTATTTCTATTTACATAGAATGTGTTACAGTTCTACGTGTGCCTGTAATCGCTTAGATTTGGCTAGTGGGCTATCCCCTCTTTTACTTCGATCCCGTGTTCCATCGCATGAGATGTAATAACTGCTCACCACAAAGTTCGCAGATTGAACAGTGTACGATCACAGCAAAAAGTATGTGCCCCGTACAGCGGCTCGAATTAATTGGAGTTCAAGCACCTAGAATGCGTGAATATATTTCACTCTTTGTTGAAGGATCCCATAGCATTACTCTAATAGATACTTCAATAAAAATCTTGTCACGATCAGTGTTATGGCTAGGCGTCCTTGAAGATGGTTCAAGGAGAAGGTTATCAGGAAAACCCTACAGATAGTAGCAGAGGGGCGAGAGTTATTATCACATCTTGTTACAGCCTCAGTTAAGTTCTAGTATGGTCTTGATTTAGACTTAAGGAAGCTAAAGCTGCCACAAAGTAGCTCTCCCTATCAGATTGAGTGAATAATTAGAAAAAGCATGAATGATTCGAGGTGAAATAAATACATCTGCTCTAAAGTCCATGGAATTTGATGTCTATGTGAACCTCATTGCTCCTAGCTTATCATGAGGACACCAATATTATATAGCCTGTTAAACGTTCCGTAGCGGTTGATAATAGCCAGGTGAGTCTATTGATTGAGTAAACCGAGACCATAGATCCTTCTGAGGCCTATGTTTCTGGAAGCTAACTCTGACGGAAACTATTCTAGACGCGTATCAAATTAGTGCTGAATGGAAACTCGATCATCTCAGGACCCGAAGTCCTCTGCAACGCGAAGCCCTGACATACCCGCTTCTCTATATTTCATAATTTTAATCTCACATTCTAGTAATTATATAATCTTATATTCTCATAATCCAATACCCTTAGTATTTCACTACTTGTTACATTCTTCGTACTTGATTTGATCTTAAGTTATCAGACTATTTCGCTTGCTCCAAAATTGGCTTCTTGACTAGTCTCTTTCGACTATCCTTCCTCTATCCTGCCCTATGTTATAAATTCACTTTTAACATTATTGTTTAATCTTCATTCACGTAGTGTAGCATGCAGAGCTAGGGAAATAGAGACAGGTTGGTGATAAATTAGGTATGACCGATCTGCCGGCAAAGACATATTCTTCACCTTCGAATCGTACCGGTGTAATCACTCAGTATGCTCTGCATATCTTGGATAGCCAAGAAGAATCGCATCCGAATCGAAGTCGAATGCAAAAACAGACACATCTATAATCGGTAACTTTTCATCAATGTCGGTCTTGTCATTCTCACGAGAGTCCTCTATCTTAACCTTACCACACACCATCTCGCCTCAACGCCCAATAAAGAAGTTGCTCCAATTGCATACAGGAGCTTGCCCCATTAATTTCCAGTCATCTCTCACTACAAATTTACGACGCTTTTTAGAGCCGCAGGGAGGAAATCAAGTCGAAAAATACAAAGCCTGGGTCCTGGCTTATGGGGAACTGTTTCTCTAATGGTACAAATGACTTGAGTGAGAACAGGCGGCTGAGATGTGGAGCGAGAGGCGCAAAAAGTCTCCGATGACGATACTGAGACTGGCATTTTCGAGGTGTTTTCAACTTAGGAAAGTTTGTGGACGCCAAGACCATGATTTCGTCTAATTAGCCAGGAGGGCTTTTTTTTTTAATTCATAGTGTATTCAGCTATCTAGCTATGACACATCTGATTATTTTATATATAAATACAAATATTTAGTCCCAATTGCCAGGGGGGCTTGTTTTGTCGATGAGTCAACGGCACTTCCCAGTGCCCTGAACGGCACAAAAGAAGTTGGGCTAAGCTGCCATACAGCAATCACGCTATATCAAGATTTTTCTGACATTTCAGCACGACCTTCGAAAAAGGGTTGGAAGGAAGCTAGAAAGGTAGAGTGTGAATTTTCCGAGTTAACCACAAGTCTGCATCGCCCAGCTGGTCGATATTTTCGACCGTTTCAGAAGGGTCACCATTTCTTCAGAATTAGCCCTAATGTCGGTATTAGAAGAACCCCGCACCCAGTGATTTTTTTAATTTTTCCCAGCTGCCATACACCCGCAAATGGCCATCGTTTTGTTGGCTGGAGAGGGGAGATAATGAAGGGCTAAGGGCTCCTTTAAGTGTATGATCGAATGAGGACTTGTGAGGTGTGGTACTGTTTGAGGGGAGCTGTTTGGGAGGCACAGGTAAATTTGGCCTGTAGGCAGAGAGGACCTACACGTCCTACATAGTCATAGACTTACACAGGACAATAAAATAATAAATACCACTGATTGCTACATCACCTGTAGATCATTCTTAAAAGAGACTAGCTACTGCGCTATCTAGAAGTATGTGGGAATAGTATATCAGCATGTAAATAAATCTGTAACATACAAACAAACACAAAAAAGATACCATTTGCATCCCATCACTCCATTGCCATAACCACCCAAGTATATTCCAAGCCCCTTGAGTAGTTCCAACTATTTAATTGAAGATACCAAGTGTATAATGACCATATACATCTGTTGGAAATCTAGACTCAGCATCTATGAAGGTTTAGATTTCTAGGTATGATCATCAAGATCAATTGAGTTGATTCGATTGAATATGACTAAGCTCAGTTGGACGAAATAAGATTCAGTGGCATCTAGAATGCAGTGGCTAAGAAATGCTACCTTGCGATAATTGAGTGGCTGGTTGTTGCTAGATCACTAGGAGTTCGGGATCACTAAAGCCTCGGGATCTGTATTTAAGGATAGACTTATCTATATATCTAAAACTGTCGATTGGCCTTATTTTACGTATACGTAAGGTTAGTTCAATGCAAAACAAAAGGTACGAAAGTTGAGGTGTGGATTCTTGTTGTTCTTGTTTCTATCTATGAACACTGCGAACGTCCAGTTCGCGGTGTTGGCTGAGTCATCAAGACAATGACTCAGCAACAGAGAGATGCACTGCACTAAGCGCCTAGTAAAAGACATACATTCCAACAAAAACTAGGTTAACGGAGTATAATATATTACTAATTCATATTGAGAAGAGAGTTTGATATCATATACAACTACCAATAAAATCTTGTCCGAAATTGTACACTTGTTCTTCGAGATATTTCCTCCTAGAAATCCTTGACAATTTCTAACAACATCACCTCCCTTCAACACACTGAACTATCTGGCACCTGGCTAGCTGGATCATATCGGAGTAATACTCGTTGGTATTTATAATCATAAGTTTTTACTGTAATAAATTCGGCAGACGGCGATCTTCAATATCCTTAGCGTACGCCAAATAATCAGTTTATTAATACTGTCAAGGGGAACTGTTCACCTACTCATGTAAACTAAGCTAGTCAGGTCACATGACCTGACTATCATTACTTATACTTCATCTGCAGCATTGGGGCTATCAAGTCAACATTTACAACGTAATACCGTGTCCCACGTATCTTTCTTAAGAAATACCAACATTAGATTTTGTTGATACTACATTACAATGTAAGAGGGTATATTTGAGTATGTAATATATAAACAGTTGTGCTTGATTAGTGCTATAGAGTCATCTTCACTTATTACATTGTGAGTAAATATTATAGTCGTCTTCATGCAAATAATTGATAAATAATCTAGGCACACTGTCATGAAAATGCATCATCTAGCCTTCGTGTCATGTTACCTAGAATCTTGCTAACTCAAATCTTCATTCATATCATTTTCAGCCCCACAGTGGACCTCTGTTACTCATGATTTATGAATCACTGTAGTCAGAAATTTACAAAACACCCTCTTTTCTTTTTTACTATATCTCAAGCCAAAAGTTGTGGCTCCATTCTCCTAACGTTACATCCATACCAGATTGAAAATCACTCCTGATACTTAAATGTTGATCTTCATTAAGAATACTCGCTGGTTTGACTGTCTATAAATTAATTTCATTGGCTACCAAATATGGATTAAGATAGCGGAAGTTAAAGTGGATTTACAATTAAATTTCTAAATGTTGTACCAATATTTTGTGGCAGATTCTTTTTCAGTGTATATTTTCAAGTCCCAGACACTTTGTGAAGATGTAGTAAAGAGTTAATTCTAGTCTGTTCTTTTACCAGTAAAAAAATATGATATTACAAATTATGAATGTAGATAGACTAGAAACGTTGCGATGAGATGGAAATTGCTAGGAAATTCGGTTACGTGTGGTTTAAGATAAAGACATTGGTCATTTCTTTCAAAAAATATTTGTTCCAGTCTATTAAAAAAATTTAAAATTGATATATATATTTCTCAACAAAATTCCTAATGATCTAAATATCTGTAACTGATAGAGAGCTGTGCAGCTAATCAATAGCTCTAATATGCCTATCTATCAGTCGAAAGTGGTATATCAATTAGAAACAATTCTAGAGCGATGTTTAGATACTGAATTCGCCCGAGAATAACTACGAGGGAGGGATTTGTCGTTTCTGATTTCATAATTTTCGGAATGTTTGACACCTATCGCTGCGGCCGCAGAGCCCAAAATGTCACGAATACGACTCTGATTTCGCGAGCCGTTATTATTTTTTCTATATGAAGAATGGTCTCTTCGTCGACGAGATTGACTTCGTGGTCGAAACTCTGAATGTGTTGTATGAGAGTGACGATTAGCGTAGAATGGATCTGTTCCATACTGTACCATTCTAGATGCTGACCTAGAATGAAGCTTGGGGTGAGCACTACGTGACCTTTTTCTCGACTCGTTTCTGCCTCTCTCTCGACTACGGCTCCGATTTTGATAAGCCATTTCTCTCTGATCTCGTTGAAGTAAACTTGCAACTGCAGCACCAGCTAAACCGACACCTGCTACTTCTACGCCCCTTCTAAGCCGTGATCGAGAGCGATGGCCATCCCGCTTATGTGCTTCATTTTGTGCGTGCTGAATAAGACCAGTAACGGCGGCTGATGCAGCTCCAGCTTTCGCAACCACAGATGACTGATCTCTACGTTTACTGTGGCTTCTTGATAGAGCTCTATGCTCCGAATGATATGATTTATGATTTTTTGATCTACTAAGAGTACGACTACGGCCTCTTTCGAAGTCTTCATGGTTTCCCTTGTGACTCTGAACAAAGTGGGTGGCAGCGGCAGCAGCAATACTAGCAGCAGCTATTCCTAAAGCCGATTTAACATGTCTAGGAGAGTCTCGGCTCGAAGATCTTGATCTATCTTCGGCATGATAATGACCATGATTATGACTATGGGCTCTGGTTAGAACTTCTACGCCGATAGCTCCAAGAGCTGCCCCTCCAAGCATATTAATGCCAGGATTTTCGGAACTATTATCGTGCTTGTTTCGATTATTAGAAGCTAATAAAGCTGATACTCCCGCTCCAGCTAGAGCACCTTCTGCCAAGTGTCTTTTGTGGTGTGAGTTTGTACTTTGGCTTCGTTCAGCTCGACGTGGTGAATTATCATAATGGATATACTCAGAATCTCTTGAGGGACTATGTCGGACTCTACTGCGTGAAATTCTTCCAATAGATCTAGAGCTATTATGGGTCAGGTTGGACCCTTGATCATGTTTTCTATGCCGATGATAGTCGCTTTCATCCCTGGATCCAATCCTTAGCTCTGAAATTGCGTCTCTAATATTTGCTTGATCTCTCTCCTTCAGTACAAGCTGATGCTGTTCTTGACGGCTTGGAACCCTTTGAGTTATAACCTCTCTAGGCTCAGACGATCTCTGTCGAGTGATTGTGGATTGTGAGTACGAAGGATAATCGTAACCATGGTTCGTAACAACTTGATATCTATCTGGATTGTGGAAATCATCATGGTGATTAGTAATTCTAATAGCTATTTTTCTATCTTCATGATCAACCTCCCATGGCGAGGCATGATTTTGTTCCCATCGGCCCGACTGGTCTGGCCCTGGTTGGCGTCCACGATCAAGCTCATATAAGTCATTGTATCTTTGGTCTTGCCTTATTTCTTGAACGGAACCGCGCGTTATCGTATTGGGCATACGAGGATGGTCAAATGATGACGATGATGATGATATAGAAAAGCGGTCGTCACGATGATCATGTTCTATACGGTCAGAGCGTGGCGCACATCGAGGCGCAGTGATCTCCTCCACTCGACCAGTTTTAACACGATATTTGCGGACACTGCCATAAGCATGACTATGTCTGTCATCCGAGTCATAACCACTTCGCATGCTGCTCGCGTATCGAGGAGATTCTGGCATACTGGATTTTTACCTAATTCGTCTAGAGTGGCGATTTAAGATAAAAAGAATTTGATGATTGTCGGAACGAAGAATAAGAAAGTATGATAATTTACTGATTCTTGATGAGAAGGTTAGATGGTTTGTAGAAATGGTGGGGATTCAGGATGGCAGGTTATTATGTTTATGGTGAGGCTGGTTGTAGCTTGCGCTACCGCCCTCATATGTATGGCGTGCCTTGGCTTCCTTGTTACGAGCATATTCACAACGACCACATGTGCATTGTGACGCTATAGGCATGAACGAATGTAAATGAGCAAGCCCACTCCAAGACATGCACGAGGTGTGGGTGCCTTAATATTCGGGCGACTATGACGATATAAAACAGATGGCAACCGGGGCTTCTATAGGTATGTTCAGCCTTACTACTGGCCGATTCAGGCGACATGGAGCACAAGTAAGCGGATTGAAGCCGGACTGCCGTACAGCTTGTGGGAAGTTAAGATTGTTGATGGAGTCTAATCGCGTAGAAATTGGAGGGCTCATCGGTATAATTTTTAACAGAAGTTCGGGAAGTAAATTGGTAAAGTATGTTGGGCCATTTCAATTTGTGGGATGATTGGCTAATTGCGGCACGTTAGTCAGCACAGGTTATCAAGAGGAGTCTCCTGCGACTGGGTTGCTAGAAGCCGGCTGAGCGATGCATTCAATAATCAGTCAGATTAGGTCTGATCGGCTGATCATTTTGCAGTGGAGATAGCTGCCCCAAGTGACTAGCTGCAGTTAAGTGATTCATTGCTGGCGTAACGGAGGGTACCCAATCAACAAGATCATATGCGATCATCACAAACTCACGCTCACAAATAACAAGAAATCATGATCATTCTTTTTTTTTGCATCAGATTTTAATTGCGTATGCAGCTATCTAGCTATGACACAATATCAGAGAAAAGTAAATAATAGATGACTCAATGTAAAGGAAGAGCACTCATGCCTCAGATTTCATTTGCAAGTACCACTGCGAAGTTTTGGTGGCTTTTTCTTCACCCCAAGTCAACCCTCATCCGTGAATACCCACTCAGAAGGATGTCTAAAAACCCTGAGTTATCCAGACATGCCTCCATTATTTTTCAACTTTTCTCCGCGCGAAAGATGGTCTTAGTTGTCTCCTTCCTAGGTGGAGTAGGTGCCCAGGCTACTCAAACCATACCAGAGACACCACCAGGAGGCGGACCACATCACCTTCCATCGTTTGCTTGTTTTTATAGTGTCATCTACACTCTCGTGAGCGAATTCTTGGCGGGCACAAAGCTCAATAGGTGAAACTCCTTGCTAAAATTCAAAATCACACGCCCGTCGAGATTGTATACACCCTCCATGTCATCTTGTAGACTTGTCCTGATTCCTCTCATTTCCATCCCATGAAACTGTCTTCCAGATTTGTGCGCCACGCTTTGTTTCCTTCGTCGGGTGTAAGTATCGGCAAGAGCGTGTATTTGGTAGCCAGCTATTACCAGAGAAAATTCGATGAGAAATGTGGTCATTGAAACGAGGATGTACTGGGTCATACTTGTAAACTTGATGAGGTTTCTGTGGAGATCAATCTCGTTGGGTGAGAGAGTTTGATTTTGTAGAGTCTTGGATCATCGCCTCGTGGGCCACCTTGTTTGGAATTGCGATATTTGACTAAACTTGGCTCTGGGAGAATTTTTCACTCCCAGATTCGTAGAGGACACTGCGTACCGGTGTTCAGCCTTCGCCCTCTTGTGATAATTCTTGCATGATTAGTAAAATATAATCAGTGTGTTCCGACCTCAAATTTGGCTGTGCTATATACAATTCACAATGCAAGGCCATCAGCCTATCGCAGTCGAGACAATTGGAGCTGTATCATGCCAATCTTGCAGAAACTTGGAAACTGAAGACTTGCGGCTATAAATTTGGAGAAGATTTGCTTTTTTTGAGTAGAACAAGGGTCAGGTGTCAGCGGGAAGAGACCTTATTTCTAAGGTCCAACTTCAGAACAGCCCCTGGTAAAGCAGAGGATGGAATCCCAGTCTAGTTCGGGCCTCGGCTGTCCATGCCGTTATCCTCGTGTAGCAGGCGAGGGGTCTCTTTGTGGTATGAGATCATAAAATAGCAGTAAATTCCACAAATTCCCGGCTCGGTAAGCCGTAGGATCCGGATATTTTACCATTCAAATTGAGTTATGAATCAATGCTGGCTTGGTATCTAAAGGTTGTACATGAAGCCACTGTCTACGTTGCAAAGGGGGACTATTCTCAACACCTGTCAGCGGTGTCCCCTACGAACCTCCAGCTCTCACTGTAGAGTCTGCAGAGCCGAGATTGAGTAACAAAGTCCTCACTTCGAAGAGGATTCCCAATCGCTTTCGCAGTCTGTATCGTCTTCATCTCTCAACACATTCCCCTATCACCATTATCATGAAGCTAACCACGATCAGATCAGATGGTAGGGTCGGAGCTCTACTCATCACCAAACCTTGGTCACGGAGGAAAAGCCATCCGATGAGTTTCCGGAGCGTACCCAGCACCCGATACGGAGATGGTGGATTGGATCAAGTCGGCCTCGACTGTTACAAAGAAGGGAGATATAGATGATTATGTGCACCTCATATGGTCCCGGTGTCTAGGCCTCGTCTGGCTGGGGCTGCAGGTTTTTTGAGACTTTTTCCCGCGCCCGCAGTTTCCATTGCTAACATTTTTATTTTTTTTGGGTGAAGGTTCCGTGGAAAAGGTGGCTGAATTCCATGGGTAAATACTGAGCTTAACGACTATTCTTCAAGGGGAATATATCAATGATCTTTCAAGTAACAAAAGAGGATAGGAGCAGTGTATAAGGTGTGGCCTGGGTCAGAGAGGAGCCCAATGTGCTAGATAGTCATAGACTCAAGTAGTACAATAAAACACACACACACACACACACATACGTTGCAAATCTTGAGTAGCATAGTGCGTCTTTTGAGGCGGAAAACTCAGTCGACATAGATATCTGACCATTCACTGTGATTTGCCAGTCCCAAACCTATTTTATTGCATGAAAATCTGACCTAGGAGTCATTATACACAAATTACCACCACTCTGACGTTAGAAAGTAGGTATCATTCTAAATTCAGCGCTGTTGTTGCAGAAATGAGGCCGCAAAATCGCCAAAGAGATTACTACCTCATGCATTTGTCTGCTATTTGATGTGACTTGTAACATGAGCAGCTAGGTATCAGTAGACGTTGATATGATTCATTAAAGATATCCAATGCCCTTCTAGCATGATTCACATTTGTATGAATGCCCTTCGTTTTGGTGGAGACTACAATGCAGGCCAGCCAGATTGAATTCCAAGACTCGGCCAATAATTATCAAACATTAGTACAGTGAGAGCCATGTTAAGACGATCATGGTTGGATTGGTGCTATTAATGCCGCCAGAAAAGGGAATTTCTGTAGAGCAAAGACGTGCTTTGCAACGATGGGCGTACCGCCAGGTCCCAAAACCAACACAAAAACAGTGCATTGAGTGGTTCTTCGCTGAGTACGGCCATCGAATAAGCCAGTCCACAGTCTCCGAGTCCTTGAGCAATACCTCTCCGAAACTCAACGAAGCTACAAGTACTACTGCGCTACGACAGCGAGCTGGAAACTGGCCTAACTTTGAGTGTATTAGAGCGATGAAAGACTGCAAGTAGGAGTATAAAAGAGGCATCAAAGGCAAAAGGTAGCCTAGATAGCTGGATTAGATAATCATATCCTTTACAGCGATATCCTCTATATGACGATATTTTTCATGGCCCCGATTACATCGCCTTAACAGGGGTCTTACTGTAGCTATGTCTCATACTAATGGCGGTGGACCCTAGATATCGAGAACGAATGTCAGGGGTTCGTATGTGGGGCGTCCTACCGTCACCTAGAGCTTTCCAGATCACGGTGACCTTATGTCGGCTACTCACTCACCTGGCTATCGCAATCGAAAACAGGCATTTATGGTATCAACAAAGAAATTTACATGACTCCTTGGTGTTTAAATATTTTATGATTTTTCATTTAATTATCGCTTGTGGCTTCGGACTGCCGTTTTAGAGCCAACCATCAACTTCTAGCAATCTCTGGCTCCTCAGCCCATCTATTGCTCCTTGGGTAGGAACAAGTCAGCATCAAAAATCCACTGAACTCTATTCCTTTAATACAAGAATTGAGGAATTCTCAGCAGTTTGTTAGTGATAATCCTGCAACACTAGAATCAATACTTAATCCCTGCCCTTTAAACGTCTTAGTGTAAATACCTGTCAAATAGCCGAGAGGTAGAATGTGAAGGAGAATCTATGACGTGTCATGATATTTCGAGTCACAGCTACGGTAACCAAAGCGTTTTGTGTATGGGTGCATGAATCTACGGTAGCAGGCAACACCAGAGAAACAACACGAAGTCATCGTGGTTGATTATTTATGACTAAGGAAAGCGGGGAACATACCTGCTAGAGCTTCATGACGTACCCTGCCAGTCTAGACTAGTCTTGGGCGAGTGGGTGCAGGTTGGGAGTTTATAGCCAAGTCAGCAATTTTGCTGGCCCAAATTTAGCACGCCATCGTTACGCATCATCTACGTAGAGCATGACTAATGGCATACATCATCAAATCTGGGGCAAATCTCAGGCTTGCTATGCATAAAATATTGCAGTCAAGTAAAGTGTCGTGTTTTAGTATTGTTAGCAAGTGCATTTATCTTGCTGTACCAATCAATATCTGTCTCATTATCAAAGTAAAGAATGCCCAGATAAGTTTGGGCTTCAACGTTGTTTCTGGACTCCAGCTGGCTGATATCCAGGATAGTCTGTCACAATTGAACCTCACAGTCAAAAATTCCCCCCAACATACTATCGGATTGAATGACGGAAGATAAAACCAATTATTTTTATTATTATAATTTGAAAAGCAAAGCAATTTGCAACGACCACCTTTCTTGGCTAAAATAAGTGGGGCGAAGCAGGTTTAGCCTGGCTTTTT